TATGCGGTCCCTGTCTGTGGCCCTTACAACGCTCTCCAGTCGTATAAATACAGAGTCAAAGCGATCCCAGGCAGCATGAAGAAAGGAAAAGGTAATTAAATAACACCGTCCGTCTATTTTCTTGTAATTATCTGTTTGTAAGTGTTTGGATGTTTGGGATTCTGTATGATGTTTTGTTTTGTGTGGTTGGAACAGCTGCGAAAACTGCAATGAATCTGTTCACGCATATGACGGAGGCGGCAGTGAGGGAGAAAGAGCTGATGAAAGCTTGTACGGACCCGGAGCTGATGGCTGCTCTTGTCGGGAATGTGAAGATCACAGCGGCGGGTTTGACGCAGTTGAAGCAGAAACAGAAGAAGGGCAAGAAAAGCGGGAAAAAAACATAGCTAGGGTATAGGTAACTAAGTGCATGGTTGCTTTTACTGTTTGTTAGTAGAGAAAGCTAAGTGCATGGCCCATAGAGGTGTTCTCAAACAAAATAAATAATACAATTATATCTTTTGATTAAATTTTGATTTTTCTTTTAGAATTTAACAAACTAGGTCGTTTCCTATTTGTTAAAAAACACACAATATGGTATTCAACAGCTTGAGTTAAAAAAAAAAACACACAATATAGTCTACATGTTTAAAACTTTACAAAACTTTCAAATAAGGAAATAACCATTGCTTAAAACCTAAGCACCAATTTGTCTCCGATTTATCTCCATTTTTTTGTAGCTCGCTAGGTCAAGAGCAACAGTCTGAGTCACCCTTAGCGCAATCTCGTGTGAGCATTGGACGATAGGTTTCAAGAAATAAACAATTTTATGCAAATACTAAGCAAATACTAAGCAAACATTAAGCAAATAGTAAAGATTTTTTTAGCAAATATGATAAAATGATCTATGTTGCATCAGTTCTGTATGTTTAAGAACCAAAAACACTAAAAATACTCTATATATCATGGTAAAAAACACCATCTAAGAACACCATCTAAGTTTGTGTATCTATGCATCTTCTTATCCATGCCAACAAACCACGTGCCAGTGATTTGAATGTCTTCAACTATCATATATGTCCATAAAAGAGAATTTCTAAACGTGTCATCATAGTTAAACATAAACTTGTGAAATAATAGGAAAAAGTTATACTTACAATCCATTCTTGGAGAAGTGAGGCGCTCAATGAACCAAAAAAGGAAAGAGGTTAAGAGTTGTAAGCCATGTTTAATTTCAAAACTGTAAATGCATCAAAGAATCATAATCTTACTCGGATCCAATTGCTTAGCGACACTACCCTCGGCTTCGTTTCAGATCTTCACGCCTAAACTATATTGTGTTTGGTCCGTGAGCATCTTCTTCATGTCCCACGCCGATGTCTTTTTGGGGTCAAACACACGTTGTATTATGATCCAACTCCAAGAATTACCCAAAAACGCTTCGACGACCTACCAATTGAAAAGGGACTCCTCGATCCACTCTTGGTAAGTCTTCAAGTGGAACCACACCGCACAACACATTGATTTAGGAGATTTTTGGGAGATTTTCACAATTTTCCTTTTTTCTTAATTATGTTTTTCTTATTGGGTTTTTGATATTTTCTTAGAGTTTTGAATTGCTATTTAAATAGTTTTAAGTTGTAGCTCTTATTTTTCTAGTTAATCAAAGCAAATAACCTTTTTATAATCTGGTGGATTTCCAGAGTTTTCTCTTCAAGTTCATTGCTTGTAAATTTTAATTCAATCTAGGTTTAGTGCTTGCTATTCCTAGGGTTTTTCGACTGCGTCAAGTGGTATCAGAGCAGGCTTTCTCCTGTCTCTTTTTCGAGCTTGAACAGCTATGGGAGATCAACCGTTAAAGCAGATTTTCAGGGTTTTACTGTGGCTATCACCTCGGCCCTAACTGTTTGACTAGTCAGATGATAGCTTTAACCAATCAGACAGAAGCTTTAACCAATAAGGTTATCAACGCCGCGCAAAGAGAGAAGAGAAGAGAACAAATTAGGGTTCAACATGTTCAAGACAATGGTGCGGCAACTGATTTTAGCAATCACATGAAGCTTTTAATAGATAAATTGAAGATAGTCAGCAGAAATCAGCAAATAAACAAAGAAGGAAATTTAATTAGGGTTCCAAGAGATGAGAACAACCCTAGTTCTCGGGATGAAGACTTCGTAGAGAAAGAGATTGATCAACATCAAAAATATTGCGCGGGTTGTTTGCAATAGTTTTCTGTTTAGTTTTATTTATATTTTATCTCACATCTCGTGTCCTTTTATTTTATTTTATTAGGATGTTAACACCTCATTTATCTCGAATTTTCTATTTCTAACATTTTAGCATGTTATAAATATTATGTTTGTTTACTTCTATTAGACTATAAACATGCATATGTATTTGACGTTAAAATTTGTAAGTATAATGTAAAATCGCATTTGCACCGAAATAGGATGAAAAAATAATATATATACTTTTATACATATCTACTTTGTTGTGGTAGCATATGAGCCTCATGACCATTGATTATTTTCTATTATGTTAGTTTTGTAATTGAATATATTTGGAAACAAACATATCACAATCCTTAAAATTTTCATGTTTTTCACTGCAATTAAATTTACATATAAAAACTCGACTTCTATTGTTTAAAAAGCAAACTCTAACTCTAATTTCTCATTGGTTTTTTATTATCTTAATTAATTTATATTCAACTTTTTAACTTGTGAACACATTATAACATTTTGAAATAGGATAAATCCTTTTAATAAAAAGGTAAATATATACCATTTCAAGTTAAATATATTTTTACTTATATCCAAACTTTTTGATAACTTTTAACATCAAGTTATCACATACTTTATATTAATTAAGTAATTTAGTTGTGTATTTTTCTTAGTTTTATTTATATTTAAAAATATAAATATAGATAAAGAAATATGAATAGTCATGTATTAAATATCTTAAAACAATTTAATTAACTTTTTTGCTGATGTGATAGCCTAGATGGAGAGAGCAACTCTCCTATTATATATAAGACTAGAGTTTGACCCGCGCCTTGCACGGGGTGATATTTTCTCAATTTGATTTTATTAAAAGATGTCTATTTACATACAATTTTAGGAACATAAAGTGTTAGACAATTAAAAAATGTCAATTTACATTAGACGAAATTTTGAGTGATGCATATTTTTTTAGCCTGGTTTGATTTTTGTCATCGTTTACAGTGTGGTAATCTAACATTTGCTTTAACAACAGTTTCTCCCTTTCCGAACCCACATATATATAAATTTTAATACATTTAAAATAATTTTATATTTTGATAAATATAAAATGGCATATATATTTTATGTTTTTATCAATTTTAAATAACTAAAATAATTTAACTTATATGATAAGTTATTAGAATTTATTACGTTTAAAATTTTGATCAAACCAAAATATTAAAAATACGATTTAATTATTTAATTCAATTAAAGAATCAAATTAAATCGAATAAAAGAAATTTTAAAGATTTCCAAACATGGTAAATTTTTTTTCCTATTTGTGATTATGGTTGATCATTATTTGGATCCTATTTTATAATAGGTTTTTGAACTATTATCCCAAAATATAATCATGTGGGACATTTAACATTTTTAGAGATTTGCTTCATTTTTAAAAATTCAAACCATAGCATATGTAGAAAAAAACTAATTTTCTTTTTTTAAATATTTTGATGTGATGATATAATTTATTCTTGAAAGTAAAGCTAAACAAAAATGATAGATGAATAAATTAATTTTTAAACAATTAATATAATACAATTGAATAAAACTTTCCATATTTTACTGATTGATTGACTAATAAATAAATTTTCGTCATTACCAAATAAGGAAACTGAAAGAAAATAATTTTCATTAATAATTATTTTTCTGACTAAATTAATCATATATATTTCATTCTCTAACCAAATATGAATGGCATAACATGTAATTAGTCTAGTAATGTTTGTCTTAATTAAAACTAACTTGAAAGTGAACCTGGTGTTGACACATCAGCATGGCATTTCTGTTAATAACACATGAGACAAAGGTTTATTTTATAGTGTTTTCTCTTTTAATATATTAGGGATGAGAAATTGATATGTGTGAAATATGCATCTCAAAGGTTCTCATTTGAGTACTCACTCTATCTTTCTTTTTTCTTACCTCTACTATTTTATTCATGAGAGCCCTTCAATGGCATGTGATTGTAATGTTCACTTTTGCAAAACGGAAACAAGTCATAAACCTTGCGAAAAACAGCATCAAGTTTTAACCCTAAAAGAAGTTCAGATTTCACCAAGGAAAGGAATGAGCTTGGGTTTTCTATAGTGTCCTCGTTAAATAAATAAAACCATGGAGGAGTTGCGATGAACACTCGTATATACAAAAAAAAAACTACTTGGCCTAACTTTATTGTAACGTACAAAACCAAAGTTAAAACCATGTGTAAGTAGTAATATCTTATGATCTACATCCCACATTATAAAAAATTTAAGGCTAGTTAAAAGTTAAAACCATGTGTAAGTAGTAATCTCTTATGATCTACATCCCACATTAAACAAAATTTAAAGCTAAAAGTGTTTATGAGTGTCTTGGGAGAAAAAAACTTGCATGTATATACCAAATTTTGTTATCTTGGCATATTTTTGCCACAAAGTGATAAGCGATTACCTTTTAAGTCGTTCTCTCTATGTTCATTTTCATTGACTATGCTTGTTATATCTTTATGTTATCCAAAGTTCTGCGAGTTTAACTTTTTTTTTATTGGTAATAAATATGTTGCCCACAAAATAGGTTGAATTATTTTATAATAAATCAAATTCGAATAATTGTGTTGACCACACAAAAAGTTGAATGACTTTGAAAGAAATAAAATCCAATCAAATGTGTTTCCCTCCTGTGGCAAAGCCTCTACTATAAGAACTCTGAAAACCTCTTCATTTTCTTCTACCAACACCGATCAATTAGAGGAAAACAATAGTTACAAACACAACGAAAATGACTAATATTATAATCTTCTTTCTTCTCCTCTCTCTTGTCCTCGTTCCTCTCTACGCATATGCGGCACCACCGTGTGTCGGCTGTATGACTCCCGTCCCCACTCTTTTTGACCCTCACGTCGCAGATGTCGGCAAATTCGCCGTCTCTCAGCACAACAAGGAGACCAAATCGAGTTTAAAGTTTGTGAAGGTTGTTAGCGGCGAGTATCAAGTAGTCGAGGGCGTGAAATACCAGCTTGTGATATTAGCAACTGACGACGGCGAAAACAATAACTACCAAGCAATTGTATTTGAGACGCGGGTGGGGCCGAGATCAATGACTCTCATTTCTTTCAAGAAACTTTTAATGTAATCCATCTTATAAAAGTAGGAAATAGTAAGTATAATAAACAAAAATGATTCAGTGTCAACTTTCTATATTATATTGTTTTCGAGCACATGTGCAGATGAATAGAATGGTTTAGTTGAACAAGTGTTTACACACCCGCTAGTTAGTTTTAGGCTAGTATTATCTGAAGTGTTAGAGGAGAAATTAGCACATTTCCCTGAGTCCGTCATCATTAGTAAAGCCACACAAAGTCCAATCCGACTTTAGGCCTAACTTCCTCAATAAAAAGGCAAGACTTGAGAAGGAAGGCACAATCCATGGAGAAATGTAAATAAATCTTCATGCCAACTTAAAGAATGGAAGAAGATCAAGAACAAGGAGAAGTTTTCCATATCGCAAAAGAGGAAGTTTTCCATCTCGCCTGAAGGAGAATATTCATCATTCAGCCGACTTATCAACAATATATATTGAAGATTTCCCCATGGGAAAAAGGCATCCGAAATCATCTAGAATCACTAGGCCTCCATACTAGTTTCTACTTTCTCCTCTTGTTCATCATCATAATCTTGAGATTACTTCCTTGTAACTTTCTTGATAATCTGAGAGTCGAATTAAGCGTTCCAGTTTCCTAAACTCATATCTTAGATAGCCCGTCTTGACGAGTGCTATCTCGGATTCAACATGAAGTACAAGTACAACCATTATCTCAAACCATGTCTTACAAGATCATAAAAGATTGATTGAAAAAGGGATACAGAAAATTGGAGCTCAACATTCAATTGGGGTCAGAAAACAAATTCTAGGAAAAAAAGAAATCAAAATAATACTCAAATAATTTCCAATTTTCCATGTTGTAGTACATACTAATAAAGTTTTTTTATAAAACAATTGAATTTTAGTATAATTCTTGCATTTATTAGAGTTAAATCATATTAGGTCCAAATGAATAGTTTTTTTCTTAATGTAAAGTGTAGACTGTGTAGTTTAAGAGCATCAGTAATGCACAGCTCCTCATGCAGCTCTTTAACTTTTTTTTTTTTAATTTGTAAAACAAACTACTTAGTAAAACTAACTTAAAAACGAAAGGGAAAATCCTGCAAAACAAATAAGAAACTCGTGAGTGATAATTGCTTAGAGATGGTGAAGATATTTGGTTCTTTATTCCCTTGAAGAAGCAGCAAAGTAGCTTGATTCTTAAGTTACAGGATGATTTCTGGTGTTTGCTCCATGCATGTCTTGCCTTGGACGCATTCAGCTCGTTTTGTAATCCAGTTGTTGTTTCTCGGATGATCTCTCCTATCAGCAGCTTCTGTTTAAGTTCCTTGTGTTCTATGTGTGTGATGAAACCCTCCACTGATTTCTTGAACTCGTCCCTTAAGATTTTGGTGGAATCGTCTCATGGTCGGTATGGTGATGCTCTCTTCATCGGTTCTGGTAAAGCTTGTGAGTTGTGACAATGTCCTCAACATTCCCTACCTACAAAAATTTATTTTACCTAGGTCATTGAAAAATAAGGTAAAAATAAATAAATAGTCATTGTCAAAATTAGAAAAATTTTTTGTCCAAGGAGTAAAGCTCTTGTTATCAAAAACTGATTCATTTTGAAAAGGTTTGCAATTTTTGAAAAATCCTTAAATAGGAAAATAAGCCTAATAAAAAATCCTACGGCAATGAAATCTTCTAGCTCCTATTTTCTTGCTTTAAAAACCTTTTCCTTCTTTCTTTTTTTCTCATTTTTTTTTTCCTTTTCGTAGAGAACTCTGAATATTCTCGAATTTCATTTTGATCAACCTCTTTTCTTCTTCTTCCTCTTTCTTCTTCATAAAAAAAACTATTACATCTCTACATTAATCTCAAAAACATATCCAAAAATCTTTGATTAATTATCAGAAGAAGGAAGAGGCTAGATCATCAATTTTTCAGTTTTTATACTAATCGGGGTTTCAATTTGCATTTCGATCTTCCTAATTACTCTACTATTTAATTTAATTCAATTTCTTACAAACCCTAAAACATCCTGGAACTTTCTTGGCGGCGAAAATGTCGATCGGAGAGAAATCGCCGAGGAGTAAAGTGAAGTTCATGTGCAGTTTTGGCGGCAAAATCCTCCCTAGACCTTCCGACGGCGTTCTCAAATACGTCGGCGGCGAAACACGTGTCATCGCTATCTCTCCTGACATCTCCTTCTCCGGTAACAAAAAAAAAAACCTTCTTCTCCTCCATAATCTATAATCTTCTTATTCATCATCAGTCATCAACCTTTTTGCGTTTGTGAAATGTTTTCAAGAACTCACCAAGAAACTCACGGAAATCACAGAGAACGACACCGTCCTCAAATACCAAATCATCCCGGAAGATCTCGACGCGTTAGTCTCCGTTAAATCCGACGAAGACCTCAACCACATGATGGAAGAATATCACCGTCACGAAACACCGAAACTCAGGACGTTCTTGTTCCCAGCGAATCCAACGGTTCTCGAGAACCAACTAGGTCTAATCGAGCCACAAACGGTAGAGCAACGTTACATCGAAGCCGTCAACGGTATTCTTCGCAAGAACGTTCACCATCTCCGTGCTCCGATCAAAACAAGACCTTCTTTCACCGTCTCTGCTTGCTCCTCTCCAAGATCAGAATCATCACCTGATGGATACAGTTACGAACAGCCTGAGATCGGTAGTAACTACCAGTTAAGCCGGCTTTATCCCATGCACAAAGTACAAAGCAGTCCCAACATCTCTCACCAGTTGCCGCAGCATCAGCCACATAGCTATCACAACCATAATGCTTATTTTCAGCCACCTAACTACTTGACTTGTCGGCTGCGACCACCACCACCACCGTCGTCGGACTTCTCTAGAGTTATAGGATGGGATCAGGGCGGTATTGGAAAATGGGGATGCAATGAGGAACGTAGGTACTGGGGAAGAGCAAGTAGTGTTCCTCAAAGTCCTAGGAACCATGGAGTACTTCGTCTTTGATTTGCTTCATTAACATTTCCAACCATCTGTGTATATATTTGAGCGTTTGCATATGTCTGGATGAAAAAAAACTAGGGTTATTGTGTTTTCTTGTACAGTTTCATCTTTGTAGGTCCATCTAAAACGTGTGATGATACTGCTGTAGGAGAATGAATGTCGTCTACTACTCTGGAAAGGTTTGGTTTTTATTGTACATGTGTCTTTGTAAAAAATAAACAATGGTTATGAGGAGAGTTTGTGCTTAAGAACATGGATTCACTTATGTGTTTTAAGAAAATATTTGACTTGCGTTTTTCCTACCTAGAAAACCATGGACAGACCTCCAGAAATAAAGCCATCTTTGAGCTAGAGTGATTGCATGTGCTTATCTATAGCAATAATGAGCACTGAAAAACAGAATAGTTAATGTGTGCATGTGATGAAAACTTTCGAGCAAAAACTAGATGTATTATAAAGTAAATAATACATGAAAGCGTTGAACACACGCTTACATAGACTTGAGATTCTCCACGTAGTCTAGAAAAATGTCAATCAAAACATGTTTAAACTCTTCAAATCCATGAATGCTGACGGTTGTAAATTTCTTCCTAACGATATTGTAGATGTAAACGAAGAAAAGGTTTGATTGGTCCTTCTTGTACGACTACAACACGATTTCACCTGTAGCAGCCAGTCCAACAAACTGCTCCCTTCTAATTACACTAGGCAATTCGTAGGTATGCTTGGACCATTTATGATTTCCAGCATCTTCTAGAACCCACAACACAAGTGGATCTCTGTCTCTATTCCAATGCCAATCTGAACTTTTCTGAAGTATACCTAGTTTACCTTTGTAGTTGAACAACTTCAATTCACCACAAGTATAAGAATTACCCTCTCCTTTCATGTCTTTATATATGTTAATAAAGCCGAGCTTCTCCGTCCTAACGTCGAAGTAAACAATCACGAGAGGTCTCATCTCATATCCGAAATACGAAACACCACTTATGCATACTTCACCACGCATTCTACTAGTATGTATAAAAGGGAGTTTGCATTCGATCCTTCTCCACAAACGTTCTCCAGACTCCAATGTTAAAACATGATGAGTATTGGGTCTTCCATCAAATTCATCAACTGACGAAGTCATACACAACGCTTTGAACTGTCTGCTGATCAGATCATATCCAAGATAGATTCCTGCAACCGTTACTCTCACTTCTGTGTCCGGGTAATTATTCTTAGCTTTCACTTGGGGTAAGGTTAGGAACTTTCCAGTAACTGGGTTACAAATCACTCGTACCTTTCTTTTAATATCTCGCACCTTTCTTACATAATTTCCCTCAAGAAGGACCAATCCACATACTAACGAGTGGATTATGAAGTACAATTATGAGATGGAAAAAAATTAGGAAAATACGTATGATAATGTGTGGCTACAAGAGTAGAGTTCTTGTTTGGATTTTGAGGCTGAGGCAAAGAGTAGAATAATAACTTGCCATCAACAGCCTTAAAGGTCAAAAGGATGCATGGACGAGTGGAAGACTTCGTCTGTGAAGTCAGGACGATGAAGTATGTATCCCCAGAATTTGGATACGCAACGAAACCTATCTATAGACTTTCTAGGGACTCGAGACTCGAGAGAATATATCGATTAGTATATCAACTCGGATTGAGTCTGAGTATTTTTTTTCTTACCGATACATTGTGTATCATTTCTGGAGGTGACTGAAGGATTCTCTGGGATCTTCTGCTCCAAATTTTCCATGGCGCGCGGATTATACAAACTCTAGAAATCAGCTATGAGTTTAAAGCCGAAGAATGCCCTAAACTTTGGTTTTGTTTCGACTGGCTTACTTTACATACAAGAAATTAAAATGGGTTCGGTAAGGCCCAAAACATACTGAGTAACACCAAAAAATTACAACATCGATCGAGATCTAGTATTGGTTATGAGTCTTATGACATGTACATCCATTTGAATGTTATGAAGCTTTGTCTCTCTGGGTTACTAGAAATTTTGAACCAAATTGCTGTTGGAACTCGATTTTGACAAAATGGTTCAAGACCATTTTCCGGTTGGTTTTCCGGTGAAGACGTTTGTCGGAAAAATCATATGTTGGGCACCAAATAATCGTCGCCATAAACACTTCTCCCTCTGTCCCATATTATAAGAAGTTTGCCAAAATGTATCCATAAAAAAGTGGATGTATCTGGACATTATTGCATCCAGATATATCCATTTTTTTGCAGATACATTTTGGCAAACTGCTTATAATATGGGACAGAGGGAGTATGAAATAGTGTATTCATATTTCAAAATCAGAGAGTTGATTTGAATAAGAAATGGAATTTATAAAAGCTTTTAAAACTTGATATATTTAGCTAAGTGTAAAAGTTAGCAAATAGCACATATTAGATACTTGGAATTGAATTTTGGGTTTATAATTGTTAATTGGATATCAAGTTCGTTAACTTATTATTATGGACTTATCTTTTGTGTTAAGATATAATATTACACAAAAAAGAAATTCATATATTAAAATATTATTGCTTTAAAATGTGGTCAAAGCAAAATATCTTTGTGTAATAACGTTGTCAAAGTCATAGTAAGACTTAACATTGATTGCTCCGTTAGTGAGCGATATTCTCCATTATGGTGTGATACGATTTGGTCAAATTCGAAGACCATGCAATTATTCCATTTGATCTCATTATTTTTTATATAAAGGCACTTGAGTTTAATAGAAATTCACTCATTCAACATAAAAAACAATCACTACAAGTTTAGTCTCTTTTATTTTTTCTTCTTTTTTCTTGAGTCTAAGAGTATACAAAAAATTATGTTTTACAGTTGTATCTTGAAACTCTAATCACCTTAGAACTGGGACATTACAGGGTGATTTTTGAGTTAAAGAAAAAATAGTATATTGCCTCTGCAATTTCATCACCAAAATCTTGTTCTTTGGTAAAATATTATTGTATTTTATTTCTGTAATTCTTTACAATTTTCAATTTATTGTAGTGTCTAAATTGTGGTTCTAACAGTCTTAACTCAAAAATCCGTTTATTGCTTTATTTGCATTAACCGGACTGATTATTGTGAAGTTTTATTTTTAATTAAGAACAGGTATTTCTGGTGGTTCTAACAGTATTTTCTAGAATTTTTATTTCGGGAAAAATATTTTTCTCATAAGTAATTTTAATCAGCTCTTACCATTATTGGTTTGGAGGGAGATTTTATTAGAGTTCAATATCCTTTTATTTTATTTTTATTATTTTATTTCCAGAATTATTATTTTTGAGAACAGTTAATTATTATATTCTGGAAAATTAATTTTCAGTAATATTTTAATTATTTAATTGTCTCGAGATCTTATTATATAAAGCTGGATGCGCGCGACGTGGTTGCGACACGTAGGATTTTTATAAAATTTAGGATTGCGACATGTGTCACTTTTAATGTTATGTCCGTTAAGATCGTGACATGTGTCTTAGAAAAAAAGGAAAAAAATAATAATTAAAAAAAATAGATAAAGGAAAAAAACGAAATTTTAATCTTTTATAGTTAAAAGAAAAAAAAATTATATTTGTCATATCCTAATAGAAAAAGGTTTCCCATTCATCAAATTTATATTATCCAAACACATATAAGATTCAAATTAATGAAATAAATAAAATCCTATTAGTACATGAAATAGGTTAGGTAAACTAAATTTCCTATAACTGCATGGAATAAGTTACATGAACCCCTATAAAAAGAGAGTTAAAGTAGTCTTTTTTTCTCATTCACAAACTCATCAAAGCAAACAACATGATAGCAATACGCATGATTTTTATAACTCACAAAATTGCGATATGTGTTTATATTCCCATTATGAACAGGAAAAAAACAATATATAATAAGCTATTGCGATTCAATTATGTGCTTCTATCTTTTGTATAATCTTTTCTCTCATAAAAAATCATGTATTTAAAATTCATGGTATCAATGAATAATATTTAACTCTATATTAGTTGGATAGAAATCAAAATTATTGTCGATACATGTATCTAACTCTATATCGGTTGGATAGAAATCAAAATTATTGTCGTTACATGTATTTGATCCGGTGAAGACATGTTAATTGGAAAAATGTTAAACAGATATAAAAACTAGAAAAATAATTAAAAAAAAAACTAACTAATAATGAAAATGAAAATTTATAATGGTCTGAGTCAAAAACAAAATTGAGAAAGAAACAATATAAATAGAAAACTAACAAATTAATTATCAAGCAACTAACTAATATTAAGAAAATATAATGAACCGATATTCTAATTTTAAATAGTTTAATTTTCAATATTGTTAGGTAAAAAATTATTAAATAAAGATTTCATCAATTGAAATCTCTTGAATGAATAATAAAGTTTTGTTGAATTAATTAATCAGTTGATCATATTTAGACATATATAAGTCTTTCTATATTGGATAAAAATAAAAATAAAACAAATTAATTCATTTTTCATATCATGAATTCAAAAAAAATATCAATTACAATAAAAACGTAAAAAGGTTACCGATCTTATTTTATTTAAATATTTTTATCGGGTTTTTAATATTATTCTGTTTACTTTAAAATGATCAAATTTGGTTTAATACTTTTCCATGATTTTATTACAAAATCTTAAAATAAACCCGCGTATACGCGGGTCTTAATCTAGTTATTTTATATTGTTATATTTTTGTTAATTCTGAACTAAGCAATTAATTGGTTTGCCACAAAACATATTTTAATTGTTTTTGTTTACCGGTTTAATGCTGCAGTTATGTTTTCATTGTTGACTTTCTATGTTGACTTTATATGAATTATTGACATTAAAGTTAGCATATTTGTTTTGTCATTTTCGTGGAATTCAATATGCATTGGTTATTATGCGATTTATTCTTATTTTATTAATTGCAATATTATTCATTGAACTTGTGATTTGGTATTTTAATAAGTACTAGGGATTGATTCGTGCCTAGCACACAGTGATGTTCTTTATAAAAATGTTATTTTACTGATGTTTTTTTATAAAAAATTAGTTTGCAAAGATCTTATATAGCAATTGGAGTAAGTTTGAGGGTTTAGAAGTGTTTCACACAACATTAATTGCAGTGTATCATTTTTCTTATCACGAATTTTAAGTGATTGACACCAATCAAAATCACTAATTATGCGGTTTACCAATCAAAAGTAAAATCATATTTATACGAAATTTAGGATTTGGAAATTTGAATTAACTTTTTACCATAAATTTATATTTGAAAAAAAAATTCCGATGCTCACGGTCAAACATGTATATAACATATCACTAATAATTAATATATTTCCATATATGTATTTTGTAATCGATAAATTACAATTAATACTCCTAAGATCGTGATATTGAATTAATCCCATTATACGTTTACATTAGGTAAGTGAAAGTTATTAGTATGCCATAATATACTAAAAAATTTAAACAGTCGAATAACTTTTAAAATATGAGATATTCCTTTCACGTATATTGATCACATCTCAGCCATTATAATCGCTGGAGTATTTACAATAGTATAATTCCGGACATGAATTATATACATGAAGACATGAATTATACATGAAAGACATGGACTATATAGGCAAAGCAATGGAAAACTTCTATGTTACATGAAGAATTGGACTAAATAAAATGTGTTATGATTGAAAAATAAATATCTATATGCACTTATATTGAAAAGATTTTATAAACGTGGTTCTTATAAATATATGTATACACGTATATTGAAAACTATTTATAACCTAGGGTTGTTATAAAATATTTGTATATATGTATATTGCAAATTGGTTATAAAAGTAGTTCTTATAATAACCGATTTTTCTTGGTTATAAAAGTTTACCGATTTATATATTAGGGATGTATATACCAATTGATTAAAATGCAATCCATTAACCAAAGAAATGTTAGATTCCATGAGTCATAGTTAATAGGAACATAGTTAAGTGAGAATTTTATTATTTGGTTGAAAGCATAAAATGCAATGACACAATTTGTAATCCCTAATATATTAAAAGAGAAAACATTATAAAATAAACCTTTGTCTCATGTGTTATTAACAGAAATGTCATGCTGATGTGTCAACACCAGGTTCACTTTCAAGGTTAGTTTTAATTAAGACAAACATTGCTAGACTAATTACATGTTATGCCATTCATATTTGGTTAGAGAATGAAATATATATGATTAATTTAGTCAGAAAAATAATTATTAATGAAAATTATTTTCTTTCAGTTTCCTTATTTGGTAATGACGAAAATTTATTTATTAGTCAATCAATCAATAAAATATGGAAAGTTTTATTCAATTGTATTATATTAATTGTTTAAAAATTAATTTATTCATCTATAATTTTTGTTTATCTTTACTTTCAAGGATAAATTATATCATCACATCAAAATATTTAAAAAAAAAAAGAAAATTAGTTTTTTTCTACATATGCTATGGTTTGAATTTTTAAAAATGAAGCAAATCTCTAAAAATATCAAATGTCCCACATGATTATATTTTTGGGATAATAGTTCAAAAACCTATTATAAAATATTATCCGAATAATGATCAACCATAATCACAAATAGGAATGAAAAATTTACCAGGTTTGGAAATCTTTAAAATTTCTTTTATTTGATTTAATTTAGTTCTTTAATTGAATTAAATAATTAATATTTTGTTTTGATCAAAATTTTAAACGTAATAAATTCTAATAACTTATCATATAAGTTAAATTATTTTAGTTATTTAAAATTGATAAAAACATTTGATTTGAATTCACAATGACTATTGACAATCAAGTTGGACTTGATGGGCAAAACATGGTTGCTCCCATTAATGGAACCATTGGAAGTGATGCTCTTGGAAATGGAAATGGTTAAGTGAGTCGACGCCCCAATTTGGGAGTGGTCAGCCACTTACAAACCCTTCAATGCCTGGCGTTGTAACCGTAGGATTAATGCCTGAAAAGTTTGGTGGGAATGGGTTCAAAACTTGGCAACAAAAGATGCTTTTCTTTTGGATCAATTTTAGCCTTGACAAGTATCTGAAAGATGATGCACCCGTTGTCAGACTTTCTCTGCAACCATTATGGATTGGTGGACCTAGTCAGACTTTCTCTGCAAGGGCTGGATTCTAAGCCGCTTGATAGACTCATTGTACAATGTGTACTGTGAGGCGAAAACCTCCAAGCAACTTTGGTTGGCCTTCGAGAAGTAGTATAACTCTCAGGATGCTGACTGTAGAAATACGCTACGGCAAAATTTCTCAACTTCAAAATGGTGGATTCAAAACCCAATGGAACAAGTTGAAGCTTTGCAATTGATTACGCATGAGATAGCAGCTGAGGGCATGTCGATTTGTGAAAGTTTCACTGTCAATTCCTTCATTGAGAAGCTTCCTCCAGGGTGGATGTACTTCAAAAACTATCTCACTCACAAGCGTAAGACAATTACCCTCGAGGACTTAATTGTCAAGCTGCGGGTTGAATCCCGAAACCGTGAGGCTAATGCTGTTTTCATTCATACGAATGATGTGAACTTGGCTGAGCACAAGAGAAATGGGAAAGGAAAAATTCCTCCACACTCCTCCACAAGCTTAAAGAAGCAAGTTGAACCAAAGAATTTCAAATGGAAGTGCCACAAGTGTGGCAAGATGGGCCACAAAGCTAATATTTGCCGTAGCAAAGTTGTTCCAAGTGAAGATAAAGGGAAGTCTCAGGCTCACTGATATACCCATATCTTTCATGTTTTTATCAAGGTTTTCACTATGTTTTTAATACAAATAATGTGGTTTTTATGCCCAAGAGGTAGTTTTCTTGTATATTCTGGTTTTGAGCATCATTCAGGTCAAAATAGCAAAGAAGAGTCAAAATGGAGCAAAAAGAGTCAAATCACCAAGTTCCCAAGTCTAGAGCACCAAATCTACATTTCTCGCTAAAGACCAAACCGGAGCATCCGAAGTACGACCGCATATTCATGCCTTCCCGACGTCCAAAAGTCATGATTCTTATATGGAAAGATAGATATTTGAGTCATGACCCGCGGCGAAGTGGAAAGAGGTCATTTGGATCACTCGTTGGACCGGAACTTATTTTCTACCAAGACATGTCCGACGAGCGCCTAAGTAGAGCCCATGGAGACTTTGATGGATCAAGAGGCCCGAGATACCGCGCCCAAGGCCTTGGCTCATCTTGACACTAGCATAACTCAATCCAGAAGCTTCCATTGGCCTGAACGCGGCCCATTCAAGAACTTGGAGAGCAAGCTCAAGCGGCTAAAGAGAAATGGAAACTTTCCTCTTCTGCGCGCGCTCAACTTTGCCGACCTAGACCCGCTCTCTACCTATATATACTTGCTTTTAGCCTCTTGTAATAAGAATCACCAGCCGCATAACAAGAAACACTTATTCAATAAAGTTCGGAGCCACTTAGGTGGTCTCCTTCTTCTTTCTTTTCTTCTTTTGCATTTGTATATAGCTTGCATGTTTCAATTTATATAGTCTAGAAGTAGAGATTTCTCCCTAAGGGTGAGGCGTGGTTTAGTCTATATTCCGCCGCCTCTCTCTCTAAGGATTCATGAGACTTCATCTACTATCTAAGACTCATTGTTGAATTATGGATCCTTCCAATGAGGACGTGATATAATGGCCATCGAAAATCGATTGTTAAAAGGGGAAACCCTATGGTTCTCCATCTTTATTTATGCTTAATGCTTGTTGCTAGAGTAGCTAACTAGTGACTTGATTTTAGGTTGATATACTCTCCAAAAGCTTGTTATATCTCCGGACACAATATTTGATGGGCAAATCGTTTTAGGCTACGAAAGTAGACCTAAAGAGTTTTGTGAACAATCATTACTTGGATGTAATGCATGTCTCACTCTACAATGACCAACGAAAGCTGAGCCCATTGGTTTAAGAGACATAGGGGATTGGAACCACGAAAGTGGAATAATCCTTCCTTAGTGTTTTGAGTTCAAAAGAATCGGATTTTAACAAACTTTTCAATCGACTTGGCTCATGTTTTCAAAAGAGTTTTCAATAGTTCAATAATGTTGCTTGTATAGAATTGCATTGTTATTTCTTTTGCGTGTTCTAAACAAACACAAACCCTTGCATCTTTTGATTTAGCTTAGTCATTTAAACTCTATGATTATGTAATGTGTGAAATCCAATCCCTTGTGGTTCGACCCCTAAATACTACAATTATATGTTGTGCACTTGCAACACTAGTTGTCTTAGGGAATTATTACTTGTACTCATCCCTTAGATGCAGCGATCACTCACCTGACAGAAGACTTGTGTGTTGTGGTCACTGAAGTCAACAATGTTGAGGACAACCCAAGGGAGTGGTGGTACGACACAGGTGCCACTACCCACATCTGCAATGATAGGGACATGTTTAGTACCTATCAGAAATGCAACAGTGAAGAACGCCTATTGATGGGAAACACTGGTTCTTCCAAGATTGACGGTCATGGCAAAGTGGTGCTGAAGATGACCTCATGAAAGGAGATCACTCTCCAAAATGTGAAGCATGTGACAGACATGAGAGAGAATCTGATTTCTGGTACTCTTATGAGTAAGGCCGGATTTGCTACCACTTTCGAGTCTGACAAGTTTGTGCTCAAGAAACATGGGGTTTACTTGGGAAAGGGGTATGCTAAGGATGGACTTGTCAAAATGTGTGTCATGCCAGTCATCCAAAACTGAGTTGTAACTCCTAAGAATAATGTTGTTTCTGTTTTTTCAATCAGTAAGAATAATGTTGTTTCTTTTTTTATTAGGTGTTGATTGGTTCACCCGCTGCTACCCGCAAACGCAGCGTTTGCGGGTAGTAGTGGTTATTGGCGTTTGACAACAATCACCATAAACGCTTTATACCGCTTCAACCGCTCAAGATCACTCAAAATCAAAAGCTCCTTCCCGCAGCGTTTGCGGTTGCGGGCGTTGCGAGTGGATAATTAAAAAAAAAAAAAACAAAACTTATATAAAATCCGAAAATAAATAATAATCTTTATTAAAAAATAAGATTTGATAATAAAATCACAATATAAATAAAAAATTAGTACTTTTAGTCAATATTCATTAAAATCATATCATACTTATATATTTATAAGTTCTACAAATCAAAATTCTCTTGATAAATATTCTTTTCATACTAATACATATATATCTAATAAATAAAATTGTAATATAAATTTAATTTTCACATTAAATATATATTTTGAAAATAAAATCACATTTTTATTTAAATTATAGAAATTAAAAGATAGACGTAAGTATTATACACATATTATTCTTTATAAATTATTTTTAATTATGTTGAACCATAAATTTAAAATTTTCATTATAATATAGTTTTGATATTTTTATAATTATATAATGTGTTTATATTATTAATTTATTGTTTAACCGCTATTGCATCCGCAAGTGAACCAGTCCTAAACGCATCCATTTTCAATTGTTATGCGAGTCCTACATACCGCTTAATAATGCTACTAATCACAACCTTCTGCTTACGCAAACTCTCCCACCCACAACCGCAACCGCAGCGGTTAAACCAGTCAGGTCCAAGTCTTTTCAATATTTGTTATGAATGGTTAAGGCATGAAATTATATATCTATAAGAGATTGTTTAATTCATACTTATTTCCAAAATGCAAATCAAGTAAAGAGAAATGTGGGGGAAAAGCATTGCTTACCACATAAAGTCATTTAACAAAATGTTGTATGAACTTTGAGAAAAAGGGCCAAGTACATTTGTACAATACCTTGAAAATGTGGGGTACATGGAAAAATTCGAAATGCTACCTCCTAAATATTTAAAAACAATTAATCTCAAAATGAAATAATCTTTATAGATTATATTCAAGTAAATGACAACCTAGGATCCAAATATTAAAGGTGTGTCATGAGATCAAGTTGTAAAATCATCAAGAGGAATGGGTTAAAAGCCTATGACTTAAGAGGATGTTTAATGGTAACCCTACCTAAATGACTGGAGATCCCAAGAAATAGGTTCAAGGGGAAAACTAAGTTAAACTGAATCTGCCCAAAAACACTGTGAGATTTATATCTCTTCCCAGTTCCTAGGATGATAAATAAGTGTTACATGTATGGTATAGAGGATAAGCATTAGCTTTTAATGATTTTGGGTCCATAACTTTGAAATATACATGGAGTAGTACATGATACTCCTTTAAACAAAGTTAATGGTGAATCACCTTGTGAGTGTGAAATGGGGCCGTTTCTAGGAGAATAAATAAAAGGCTATATTCTCCAACTTCACTCATGATTATCCAAGTATGTTCATGGCCAAAATGAACACAATAGAGAACCTAGTTCTGTGAGAGAATGAAACTGTGTTATAGTTGTTGTCTTGGTTTACATCAAAGCCCGAGAGGTTCAAGACATCATGTTCACCTCTTGGTCGAGTAAACCCGATAGCTATTAACAGTGATTTGGTTCAAGGCTGAAAAATGCTACCAACTCATATGCAGTGGATTTTTCGTTTATACTCTCAAAAGTCCTTTTTATTTTATTTTTTCAGTCTTTTCTTCTTTTGTTTAGAGTCATTTCTATTCATGTGGGGGATTGTTGGAACTCGTTTTTGACAAAATGGTTTAAGACCATTTTCCGGTGAAGACGTTTGTCGGAAAAACCATATGTTAGGCACGAAAGAATCGTCGCCATAAACACTATGAAATAATGTATTCATATGTCAAAATCAGAGTTGATTTGAATGAGAAATGGAGTTTATAAATGGGTGTTTATAAAAGCTTATAAAGTTTTTTATATTTGGCTAAGTGTTAAAATTAGCAAATAGCCCATATTAGATATTTGGATTTGAAGTTTGGGTTATAATTGTTAATTGGATATCAAGTCCATTAACTTATTATTATGGACCAAATAAATTTGTATCTGTGTTTATAATTTTTCATTTTCATTATTAGTTAGTTCTTTTATAATTATTTTATTAGTTTATTTATTTATGTTACTCCATTTTTCCAATTTTCTTTTGTTGATACATTTCCAATTTACACCATCACCTGATTAAATATTGGACATGATTTTTGATTTCTTAATGAGAAAAAAATATATTTTAAATATAGCTTGTTATATATTGGTTTTTGTTTTCCTTTTCTTAATGGGAATATGTTTTTTTATACGTTTTCTTACTAGATGTAATATTTTTTAATTATTTCATTATGATTTTTTGTTTTTTTATTTTTTCGTAATAGAATTATTTTTTTCTATACTTTTCCTAATGGATGTTATATTTTTTGTTTAATTGTTTGATTCTTTTTTTCTGATTTTTCCTAATGTACTAATATGATTTTATTTATTACATTATTTTGAATTTAATATGTGTTCGTTAATATAAATTTGATGGATGGGAAACCTTTTTCTATTAGGATATGACAAATATGATTTTTTCTTTTTATTCTAATAGATAAATGTTTTTTTTTAATTTTCCAACTAAGCTATTTAATATTAGAAGATCGGTCAATTATAAAATTTTCTTTTTAATATTTAGTTCCTTGATAATTATTTTCTCGGTTCTCTATTTATATTGTTTCTTTTTTAATTTTTTATTTTTGCCTCTAACCATTACAAATTTTCATTTTCATTATTAGTTAGTTGTTTTACAATTATTTTATTAGTTTATTTATTTATGTTACTCCATTTTTTCAATTTTCTTTTGTTGACACATTTCATCACCTGAT